TAAATGATGCAGCTTCTAAGTCAATGAAATCTCGTTCAGGTAAAAGTAAAAAACCTCCAAATCCTATTTGGTGGGATAATGAATGCACCTTAATTGTTAATAATAGGAAAGATGCATATCTGGATTATAAAAATAACACGAATTATGAAAATTATCTCAAATTTAAGCATATTCAGGCCAAAGCTAAAATACTTTTTAAACAAAAACAACAATTATGCTGGAAAAATTTTATTAATAAATTAAATAAAAATACGCCAATATCAAAAATTTGGAGTTTTATAAAAAAAATATCTAACAAAAACTCAACTTTTAAAAAACATACTATATCTGAAGAACTAATAAACCAAGTTTTTGATATTGTAGCACCTAGTTTTGTGCCAAATATGCTTGAAAGACCGAAAGAGAACATTGGCAGCCACTATATGGATGCACCTTTTGATACAACTGAATTTGAAGCTGCAATTAAGACCTCTAGATGTACTGCTCCAGGTAATGATTTTGTTACATATGACATTATTAAAAATCTTCCCCAAGTTGCTAAAGAATTTATAATAAATATATACAATGATTGGTGGGTAAATGCTAACTATGTTGAACAACTTAAACAAATTACCATTTGTTTAATTTTAAAACCAACTAAAGATAAAAATATACCCTCTTCTTATCGCCCTATATCTTTAATGTCATGTATAACTAAAACATTTGAAAGAATGATAAAAACAAGACTGGAGTGGTACATAGAGTATAACAATATCTTGCCTAATACTCAATACGGTTTTAGAAGGGGATATGGTACTTTGGATGCAGTAACTCATTTAGTAAATGACATCCAAATTACTTTTTCTGGTAACAAATATTTAGCTTGTTTATTCCTAGATATAAAAGGGGCTTACGACTCTGTAAATATTAATATACTTAAACAAAAAAATGATTAGGATTGGTCTTAGTGAAACGACTGCTCTAAATATATTGCATCTATATTTTTCTAGACATGTCTATATTAGAGATCATAGAAATGTTTTTACATGGTCCAAGGATTGTTTATCATGGCTTGCCACAGGGATCAGTACTTAGCCCTATACTATTTAATATATATTCTGCCAATATTCATTCATTATTTCATAACTCGGTAAATTGCATACAATATGCAGATGACATCTGTATATACACCATCCAAAACAGTTATGAAGCATGCACGGAGGCTCTCGAGAATATTATGCATAAGGTAAGTATATGGACAGAAGAAACAGGCATGACTCTTTCAACAGACAAATGCTCTATCATGTTTTTTACCAGGCATAGACTACGTGCTCCAGAGGAATTGACTCTGTGTGGACGTACCCTGTCGGTAGTTAAAGAGTATAAGTATTTAGGTATTATTGTTGACACCAAATTACTATGGTCGAGCCACATAAATCACTTAATAAACAAATGTGAAAAAGGCTACAATTTACTTAGGTGTGTAACAAATCGAAGTTGGGGTGCAGCTCCTGGTATAGCTTTATTGTTTTATAGAGCCTACGTGCGTTCTATCATTGACTATGGATGTTGTTTTATACGGATCCTCTTGTAATACCAATCTAAACAAAATAAACAGAGTTCAATATAAATGTCTTAGAACTTGCATCGGTGGGATGGTATCATCACCGGTGAAAGCAATACTGGCAGAGTGTAATGAGTTACCTTTGGACTTGCGTAGGCAAATGTTATCACAAAAATATCTCTTAAAACTAAAATCCCTTGAGTCAAACATGATCAACAAATTAAGTTATATTGCAAAAGAAGACCTAACAAATCGATATTGGAAACTTAAAAATTCTCCCCCACTTGCAGAAGCTTTTGTTGAGACTAATGTTGATCACATATCTTATAGTAAAAATAAAAAATTACTTATGTATACTATACCCTTTAGATCACTAATAAAACCACACAGAGTTATAATACCGAATTATACAGAATATAATCATATAAACCATACCCTTTTAAAATCTATATTGGATGGATTAATCAATAACATATTTATATATACAGATGGATCCAAAACAAAACACGGAGTTGGTTGTGGAGTATTTATTCAAAATACAAAACAATCATTTATGTATAAATTACCATCAATATGTAGCATATATACTGCTGAACTTATAGCAATTTTGAAGGGCATTACGTGGTTAATATCAAATAATTTACGAGAGGGGGTAATACTAACTGATTCTAAGTCAGCCTTGGAGTCAATAAAAAGTATAAAATTTGAAAGAATGAAATGTCCTATATTATGCAATTTAAAAAAAATTGATAGCAGATTTAAATATAACATTTGTATGGGTCAAAGGACATATAGGTATACTAGGTAATGAAAAAGCTGATAGTTTGGCCAAGGAGGCGATACAAAACGGAGTTCATTGTAATATTTGTACAATACCAGACGCCTCTAATTTCATAAAAAATAAAATAATGTCCAAATGGGAAAGACGGTGGGAAAACGTTGTAGAAAACTCACAAAATACATATTTTAAAATACATCCAACCTTACCTTCTCCACCCCAATATATTTTCAACTATTCCATTTCAAAATTCTTTTCAGCAACTGTTTTTCGACTTAAAACAAATCATGGGCGATTTCCATCGCACCTTGCTAAGCTAGGCATTATACAGTCATCGGCCTGTAGTTGTGATCAGAACTCTTACGGAGACCTAAACCATATATTTTTCGGTTGCAAAAAACATTTAAAAAAATCCGATGATTTGATTCGTAAGCTCATTGAAATGAAATATTTTCTTCCATTAAATCTAAACACACATTTTATTAAATGCCAATAGAAACACCTTAGAACTTCTAGTAAATTTTATTAAAGAAGTAAAAATAGAAATTTAAAACAGCATAAACCATAACTCTGAATTATTTACATTATAAGGAAAGTTCTGCGTACAACATTCTGTGGCAAATGGACTTGATTCCGTGCCATTATCTTTCCACACACACACCCGTTGGAGTGCTAGCTGAAGAAAGGAAGACCCTTTATTGCAAAGAGATCGGCAAAACAGCATTGATCTATGGCAATTACAGTGGGATTCCGCAACAACGGACAGGAGGACACATTGTCTTATACCATAGGTGAATGTTTGGCTAAACCGCAAACATGTCGAGGTCAATTACTATCTGACTTGATGCTCTCAGGACGTATCTGTTTTCGGGCATATCATTATCGCTTTAAACATGAGGATTCTCCAGAGGTCAGAGTTTCGGGGTCAGTGAAGATGCGGAGCATGTGTTCTTCGTGTGTTCCCGTTTCAACTTGCATCTCAATACTCTAGAAGCAGTAATCAACCAGATAATTCGACCAGAGACCATAGCAAAAGAAATACTTTCATCGAAGGCAAGTTGAAATGCAGCCAGTACATTCGCGATGGAAGTTCTCCAGGATCTTCACCAGATTGAAAGGAGATAAGCTGAAAATAGAGACGGTTAGAAGGAGAGAAGCAATAACTTCAACAACGTGAAGGAAGAGCAGTAGCTAAATTATTCTCCTGTGAAGTAATACATTAACCGTGGGAAACATAGGCAGAAGGGGACGGGCTTTAGTCGGTATTGTATTGTAATATACGAGTCCGACATATCTAGTTCTGATGATAAGTAAAAGTATTTCCAAACCAAACAAAGAAAAAAAAACACATACAGCATATTCACCTTCAAAAAGCGCAAGGAAATTTAGTTTACTAAATACTGAATAAAAAATCTACACAAAGATCCTAAGTAACAGACTAAAGGTTCTAACTGTTCGTAATTAAAACCAATGGTGGTGCAAAAAGGATTATTAAAATTTAGGATTGTAAAAAGATATTTGGATACATGAGACTTTTATACAAGAATAAAATATGTAAAGAGTAAATATAAATCTTAAATTATGTTGACAATGACCATGACACCAATTTACTAACCACCTTACAACGAAAAGATAACTCAGGTGTCTTCTTCTTCTTCGCGTGCCATATCAGAATTATCCGACATTGGCGATCACCATTGCGAAAGCTTCTCGATCTTCTGCAATATGGAATAATTGTCCTGCATTTGATATCAGAGTACCTTCACGAATGTTCCTCAACCAAAAACCCGTTTTCTTCCTACACCTATACGGCCCTCTATTTTGCCTTTAAGGATCAGTTGTAATATTTTATATGGACTTTACCTTACTATATGTCCCAGATAAGACATTTTTCGATGTTTAACAGTCTTTAGCAGTTCTCTGTCTTTGTTGACTCTCCTTAGTACTTCTTCATTAGTTTTCCTTGGCGTCTAAGGTATCTTCAGCATTCGTCTATGAACTCACATTTCCATTGCTTCAATTTTGTTCATGATCGATACTTTTAGCGTCCACACTTCTGCACTATACAAAAGTACGGACCAAATATAGTAGCACTTAACCATTCTTCGTCTTAGTTCTAAACTGAGATTATTATTGCAAAAAAATGACTTCATTTTCATAAAAGTAGTTTTAGTCATTGCTATTCTACGTTTTATTTCTATGTCGGGATCTAGTTGGTCCATTATCACAGTTCCCAAATATGTCCCATATTTTGTGAACTTTCTCAACTTGGACTCTGTTTAATTGAAGCTTTGCATCGGGATGTGGCTCACGACTAAACACTAAAAATTTGGTTTTGTTTGAGTTTATTTTAATGCCCATTTCCTCGCCTACCTCGTGTGTACCAATAAAAAAATATGGGTTTGATGTTAGGCAATTATATTAACAGTCACCGAAGTATTTAGATACAAAGGTCAAAATGGATTCCGAACAGGATGCTCATGCAATGATAATATTTATTTATAATCAAACAACTCATCGAGAAACGCAAGAAATTTTGAAAAGGTTTACTACCAGCTTCCGACTGCCGTATTTCAAGCATCACATAAATACTTGTTTCTCGCATCTAACGTACAACTTCATTTACAATTCAATAAAATCAATAAGGTATTTATTAATGTAGTATTTATTCCATTTCAGGTACTGCTCTTGGCCATTCGTACCCTTCACGTGATCATCCGGTACGCGTTTCATCTGTACGACATGCGGAACGAAAACAATACTCCCACCACCGGCGAGGACAGTAAAGCCTTAGACAAACGAGGACCGGTGTCCTATTACTTTGAACTTGGCTTCGACCTCACCGCACTTCTCATTGATCTAATTCACCACCTCCACATGCTTTTCTTGAGCAATATTTTCTTGTCCATGGCCAGCCTCGTCATTTGTATGCAGCTCAGGTAAGAATTATAAATAGGTGTAATTAACTGCAATTTGCTATATTTATGTATATCTGTAGTGATATATTTATATTAATTTATGAAAATTCTTTATAAAGGAATTATGTAGTTATTACGAGAAGTTTCATGAGGATTATTTTGTATAAATAAAGAGATAAATAATTGCTAAAGTTTATTAACATATACAGGGTGGGACACCGAAACATGTCAAATATCGCCAAGACATTTGGTTTCTGATAAAAATACAACTCAAAATATTATCAGCTATTGTACCTAATGTCATGGGAAATACTGGTCTGTTTGAAGAGCAGTTTTGTTTTCCTTTTCGTCTTTATAGAGGGGGGGTCTGGAATCTTCAAAAGACATCTCAGTCCAGGACGCTAACTAACTGACCTTAGTCAGGATTTGTTCTTCGTACTCCTGGCGATAGTTTCCGAGGTACTTTAAAATGCCCTCTCGTCGTCGCGTCTACGCCGAACGCCTACATGCTAAACCAGACCCTCCTCTGTCATCCAGCGATCCGGAATGGCCGCTGTAAGGCCGGAATCACTTCCGAAGCTCTACCTTTATTCATTCTTTCTCCATTCATACACATCCACACTCTAATCATTAGCAAGGAGGCTCCCTGTCTCGTTCCTGGTAGCGCGTAGAAGACCCTGATCGCTCCTAGTACGGCATCATTCCCAGACGTGCATTTCCTCCTTCCCACAGTCTGACATGATCATCACTTTTCTAGCTTCAACTTTCAGCATCTTTCACTCTTGCCTTTGCCGTTGGTCCAACTGTCTTTCTTTCTCTTCCTTTTTCTCAATCACTACATGGATATTGCTGTGTATGTTAGTCCAACCTGATTTATTTTCAATCATTCTCTCAATCATTTCTCTGACTGTAACAAAATTCACACCTGTCTCTCTCTCTCTCTATTCTGTTCCTTTCCACTATCCATCTTCTGCAATTTAACATCGTATGTGTCACAGTGTCCAAGTATCCACAGTATAGGCATTCATCTGTGTCAGACTTTCCGATCCTAGAGAGGTAGGCCCTAAAACACCCGTGTCCTGTGAGCACTTGCATCAAGAAATAATCCAGTCGCCTGTCTCCACAGTCCACCCAATCTCTTGTGTTCGGGATCAGCATTTTTGTCCACTGTGCCACATCCTCCGCGTTGTTCCATTCTTCTTGCCGTCTTTTAATTGACCTTTTCCTTTCCTGTCTTCTCTCGGCCACTGTAAGGTTTGGGCCTCTTCTCTCATAGAACTCTTTTCTTTCCACCGCCAAAACATGCAACGGAACACATCCAGTGATGTTCCACAAAGCTGCCGCAGACACAGTCCTGTAGGCGCATGCCACTCGCAACAGACTTGAACTGTCCACTCGTGTCATGAGCCTTCTATAGGCCGTAATTTCTACCGCCTCGCTTCAGACTGGTGCCGCAGAGAAAACGATCGACTGTACAACACCGTGTAAGATCCTCCTCCTTTGGGATTTGGGTCCCCCAATGTTGGGCATCACCCTCCCCAGCGCAGCCTACTGGACCACCTCCCGCACGTGTTCCCCCCATTTTCCATTCTGGTGCAATGTCACTGCTAGGTACTTTACTTGTTTCTTGGGTGTTAGACATGCTCCCGCATATTGTAATTCAATACTTTGCCTGTTCCTTGTCCCCTTCAGAATGATGGCTTCGGTTTTATCTGCCGCAAGTTTCAGTCCGTGCTGCGTCATACATTTCTTTACGTCGCGGCCTGCGTTCCGAACCCGGTATTTGAGATCTGGCTCCAGGTTCCATTAGTGCCTGTTTGACTTGTCGATTTGTTCTATTTTTGTTTTCTTGGTTGGATTTTTTAGTTTCTAAGATAGGCATTAGCCTAGTAAATGTCAGATTTTCAAAAACTTTGGAAACAACTGGAAGAAGCCTAAAAGATCGATAGGACTGTACATTTTCAGGTTATTTTCCTTGCTTCAGTATCATTGTTATTTATGCCCATTTTCATTGTGATGAAAAGTGACCTATTATTATTATAGAGTTAAATAACTGTCAGAAATTGGAAGCCTTTCTTTGGGAGTTGTTGAAAGAGTTTTTTTTAGTAAGGCTAGGTTCTTTTTTAGGTTGATGTGTTGTATAATATTTTTTACTTCATTTTTTGTGAATCTGTTTTCAAGGAGTTTTAATTAATAAGGTTGTGCGAGTACTTAGTCCTCTTCTTTTGTTTACGGTGAGTATTCTCCGTCGTTGGGCGTAAACATTTTTTTTAATGTGTCGCAAAATGTTTCGACATTCGCCCTATTTCTATTCTTACTGTTGGTATTGTATAATTCGGCTGTCGTAAGGGCCTTGTGGCCTTCTATAGCTAGTAGTTACTAGTTTTGAATGGATCTACATAGTTTTGATTCCTTACAATTTACATGTTTTCTACTATTATCAATTCTTTTAATACTGTTCGACTCTATTAGCTTGTTTTATTCTGACGCATATCCTTATATTCCATGGCCTTGCTCTGACTCATCATCATCATCATCAACTAACCTCTAACGTCCACTGCTGAACATAGGCCTCTCGCATGCTTTTCCACTTAGTCCGATTTTGCACCATCTGAATCCAATTTGTCGTCACCTTTTTTATGTCATCTGTCCATCTCGTTGGGGGTCGACCTCTATTTCTGTTAGCTTGTATTCGGGGTCTCCATTCCAAAATTTTTTTTGTCCACCGGTCATCAACTGATCTTGCTACATGACCTGCCCAGTTCCACTTTAGTGTTGTTATCCTTGCAATAACGTCTGCTACTCTTGATCTTTTGCGTATTAGGTATTCTATCACGTAGAGAAATCCCTAACACTATTCTCTCCATTGCCCTTTCCGGAACTTGTAGTTTACTCACTGTTGTTTGTGTGAGTGTTAGGGTTTCTGCGCCGTAATTCATCACTGGCAAAATACACTGATTAAATACTTTTCTTTTCAGACACATTGGAATCTTAGACCTAAAAATATCCTTCATATTTCCAAATGCAGCCCAAGCGAGGTTTATTCTTCTTTTCAACTCGATTGTTTGGTTGTCTCGACTTATTCTGATCTCATGGCCCAAGTATTTATAGGAGTCAACAGGCTCAATATCTTTGTCTTCTACTGAGATGTTTTTGTTGTGAACTAAATTTCTTATAAATTGTGCTTTTGAAAAATTTATTTTAAGACCAACTCTTTTTGTGGCAGTATGGAGTTCTTGGAGCATTATCTGTGCCTGATCAAAGCTGTCTGCAATAAGAACGATATTATCTGCAAATTTAAGGTTATTTAAAAATTTTCCATCTACATTGATGCCCTTATCGTTCCAATCTATTGTTTTACAAGCGTATTCTCTGACATCGACTACTTATCTTGTCTTAATCTGAACCATATCCTTTTAATCAATTGCCTTTGCATTACAAAGCAATAAAATCAAACTTATGTTTATTTCAGACTATTAATTCATGACATACAGAGCAAATTCAAAAAGCACCGGAACTATTTGTGGGTCAAGAATCACTTGGAACAAAACTACCCTATGGCAACCGACAAAGAGTTGCAGGAAAACTCAGACAATTGTGCCATCTGTTGGGAAAAAATGGAAACTGCCAGAAAACTGCCGTGTGCTCATCTCTTTCACAAGTAAGTTTTTTAGTTCATTTACAAATCAATTATACAGTTAAAGCTAATCTTAGCAAATTATGTAATTGAAATATGTTCATTTCAATTTGGTACTTTTGTTTTTACTTCAGCACTTGCTTATTGTCATGGTTGGAACAAGACACTTCCTGTCCAACTTGTAGAATGACCTTAAACATCCAAAGTCCTTCTGTTGCCAGTCTGGAACCTCCAGAAATACAGGTGGAACCTCAAGAGAACACGCGAAGACCGTTCAATCACTTTTTCCATTTCGATGGTAAGTAAAACTGAACTTAACGTTTTATCTGATCAAACTGAAATTTTTCGATATACATTATAAATAGAAATATGTACTTCGTAAATAAGCAATAAAGTCGTAGTTTTCTGAAATTCTGAAATCGTATGTTAGCGACTCCATTGATCTGTGGACAATGTCTTACTACCCCAGACCTACTTTCTGGACATTAATTTGCGATGTTACAACTTCTCTAGCTTTGTTATAGACTTTCCGATATAATTTTTGAAGTAAATACTTCTTATCGCTCGGCATGATGTTTTGCATGTCCAAATTCCTATTTAGCGTGATTCAAAAGATCGAGACGGGTGTAGTAACCTGGAGGTATACCGTAATTATACATAATATACATACATATACACTTATTATAATTTTATATAATATATTTTTATCCTAAGCTGTAAATTTTGTGTTGATATCCTCTGTATAGTTAAAATTGGAATCACCATTGTTTATTTTCAAATAAACTAATTTACAATAGTTTATACAAAAGTAAGTAAAAACAGAAGTTCTGTTTTTATCTATCTGAAGCAAATTGATCCGCCGTTAACTTTTATTCCGATCGTTGCTTCTTCGAATCATTTTTAAATTATTTCTTCCTAATACAAATTAAACAACAATGGTGAAAGCACGCAACCCTGCCTCACTCCTCTTTGTATCACTATTTCTTTAAAGAATGATTTTCCCACTCTAACATAACTTTGATGAATATATTTACAGGGAAGCCTACGTTCTGCCTAACTTTGAGGTACACCCTGCCTATAGAGTACTTCTACGCACTTTTAAATGTAAGAAAACCTTCTTAATATAAGAGACCTTTGAATGTAAAAATACCTTAGAACTCTCAGAGGCACTCCGCTGAAGCAGACCCGAGCTAAATCTTTAGCTGATGGACTTTCGGACCACTGCCTTGAATAGTATCATTAATAAAGAGGGTGGAACCAAAAAACCTTCGTTCCCTTTCCAGAGCGATGGCTGGAGATCATCCACAAACCGATACCACGGCGGATAGCTGAGAAGGAAATACCTTTACCTTGTAGCACCTACCATCATCACCCAACCATTTGCGTCCACTGCTGGACATAGGCTTCCCTCATTTTTGTCCATTGTGCTCTATCTTGAGCACTTTTCATCCAAATTTGTTAATCTTCTACAGTCAATGTTCAGGCCTTTCTCTTCCCAGTTAGCATACAAGCATATTCTAGTACTGCGGTAAACAGTTTAGGCGATAAGACATCACCCTGTCGGACTCCTCTGCCGATTGGGATATGATCCGTGTTTTTATGTAGTTTCACAGACATAGTTGCGTTCTTGTGTGTATTGTAAATTATCCTTGTATATCGGTAGTCAATGCGGCATGCTTGTAGTGCTTCCAGGATTTTGTCAAATTCTACCGTGTCAAAGGCTTTATGGTAATGTCCAAAAGCCAGAACAAGTGGTCGATTGTATTGGATAGTCATTTCTATTACCATTTTAATGCTCTGAAGGTGATCATTTGTTCCAAATCCGGTACGAAATCCCGCTTGCTCTATTGGCTGGTACAAATCAAGTTTTGCTTAGGACGATTCGTTACTTTTTTTGTACAATAGATTTACGTCAGCATTGTGCCATTTGTCGGGTATATTACTGTCCAAAAGGCACATGTTAAAAAGGTTTTTTTATTTTCTTAGGTAGGTAAGTGCCTCCGATTTTGATTGCAATAGTAACTACACAATTTTCGCCTGGAGATTTTGTTATTCTTAGCTTTTCTTAAGACTAGTTTTGTTGGGTCTATTGTGATTTCGGATAGTAGCTCTGATCCTTGTTTGACAATGCCCTTTTTCTTTGTTAAGGATGTTTTATCGGTGCACCATAACTTAGGGACAGTGTTTTCTCTGTTGTTTACCGACAAAATGTCTCGAAATTATGGTTTTACTTTTTTTTTATTTTTCTTAAACTTCTAATGAAAAATTGGATTATACTGTTTAACGTTCTATTATATCCAAACTTTTTACGCCCATCACTTGAAAAAGTTTTTTTTTCTGTAATCGTTGATTTTTTTAACTTTCTGTGTCCAGTGTTACGTAACGTGTTACTCATCATTGGCGCTTAGTTTCATCGTTATCGCCTTCGAGACGTCAAATCTCATGGACGTACGGTCAGTTAGTTCGTGATAGAACTAATTTAAATGGAGAATAATGTATTTGTCGTCATCAAACTACCCGTCAACCGGCGCCACTGAGTAAAGATGGTCTGGCGTAAGCAGTGTAGAAAAGTTAGTGATACGCCCATTTTAAATCGCACTGTAGCACCTATCCTTAGAGTTAGTTTCTGCAATTTATCATAATTCCAATTTGCAATAATTACCTTGGTCAACAGAAGGAATGGTATATAGGTAAAAAACATATGTAAATGTTGTTGTCACTATTCATCATTCGCTGAGGAGCGGCGGCAGAGGAAATGCTGCTAGCATAACGCGAAAATTGTCACATGTTTTCTGCATAATAATGTAAACTTATTTAGAACGTGAGTGTCCGTTTTCTAAATCATCTAGCGTCGTCATCAGTATAGCTACTATAGTTTGTTTACCTGGAGTTTTAATGCCTATGCCTATTCTTCTTCTTCTTTTGGCATTATAACCCTGGATGGGTCTTTGCCTGTCTGGCTATGCCCTTCCATTCAGATCTCTATTGTGTCCTTCTTCTCCATTGTCTTATGTTCATTGTTTTCAGGTCTTCTTCCACGTCATCCAACCATCTCGTTCTGGGCCTTCCTTTTATTCGCCTTTCTATGGGCTTTCATTGTAACATTTTCTTTGTTGTTTTTGTATCGTTTTGTCTCTGCACATGTCCCAACCATGACAGTCTTCGACTTTTCACAAATCTTACAATATCATAACCTTCATTTAACTCATTAACCTCGTCGTTTCTAATAATTTCGATGTCATCAATCTTTTATTAGCATAGTATGTACGATTCCCGCTGGAAATACGTGCATTAATTTCGCTACTTACGGAGTTCTTCTGATTGATTTCTGTGCCGAGATATGTAAAGGCATCCACTCGTTCGATAGTATAGTTGTCTATTGTGATATTATTTTCATTGTCAGTTATTCTTTTGACTGTCATATACTTCGTTTTTGCTTCGTTTATTTTGAGACCTCTTTTTCTTGCTTCAGGATCAATTTGTTTGAACACTTCCATTAGTCGTGGCTTATTCCTACTAATGATGGCTACATCGTCTGCATATGCAGTAATTTGTACTGATTTGGTGTTTATATGGCCGGCTATATTGGTTTTTCTGATGACTGCCTCAAGAACTAGGTTGATTAGCATGGTTGATAGGGCATCTCCCTATCTTACTCCCATGTTGATGTTAAACAGGGGAGTCAGTTCTCCATCTACTCTGACTGCAGCTTTTGAACCCTGCAACGTCATTTTTATGAGGCTGATGTATTTCTTAGGTATACCTAGATTACAAAGGTCTTCCAGCATTCTGTCTCTTTTCACACTATCAAAAGCTTGTTTAAAGTCTATATACATATTATATAGGTCTATGTCGTATTCATAAGCTTTTTCTTGTATCGTTCTTAGTATGAATATGTTATCTGTAGTGGCTCTATTTGGTCTGAATCCATTTTGATAATCACCAATTATATTTTCGGAGTATTCTAATAATCTATTGTAGATTATACCAGAAAGAATTTTGTATATTACATTTAGCAATGTAATTGGCCTATAATTCTGGCATTTCCTCTTATCTCCTTTTTTATATATTGGCTGTATGAGGCCAACTGTCCATTTCTCTGGCATTTGCTCCTTCGTCCATATTAATGTTATTAGGTAATGGATTCTTTCCCAGAGTTCGGATCCTCCATGCTTTAATAATTCTGCCGAAATTCCGTCCGTTCCTGGTGCTTTATTGTTTTTTAGTTAATTTATTATCTGAACTACTTCTTCATAAAGGTCGATTCAGACACATCAGTCCCGTCATAGTCTCGGCGCCGAACCAGTCCTGTTTGGTCACAGAACTATCAACTATCTGACAGCTGGGTAACTGTTTGTCAACTGATGAGTGTGAATGCCGGCAACATATTTGTATTAAAGAATATTTTGTATGACGGATTGTTCGGTTCGGCGCAATCACTGTGACGAGACGTGACTGATGTGTCTGAATCGACCTTAACTCGGATTTTCGATGTGCAGCTCCGCCGTATAATATATTGTCTCGTTCTGATCATTTTCGCTGTCTGCATTTAGATTTTCTTCGAAATATTGTTTCCATCTCATTATAATTTTTTGCTTCTCTGTTAGTAGTTCTCCGTCCTTGTTTTTGCATATCGTTAGTTTTGGTCTAAATGACTGTGTGCTTTCTTTTATGCATTTATAGAATTTTCTGCTTTCGCGTCTGTTGTTATGCTTTACGATTTCTTGTACTTGTTTTTTCATAGCCTCTCTTTTCTTTCTTCTGCATATTCTATGCAGAAGATGCAGATATGCCTATGCCTATATTGGAACATTTATTTTCCTATTTTGTCTTTGGCTTTTTTCAAGTAATTTGTTCCGATTCCGTTGCCTTAGATGTACCATTATGATGAAATACAATCATGTAATGATTATTTATAGCACCTAAGAGACACACTAATCGTTTTCTATCAACTATCCGTATCTTACGTTGTACTTTAATTTTAGAATACACAATGTGTAAACGCTTGATTAAATTAGGTTAAAAAAACCTTAAAGGTCGATAAATAGCCTTGATTCGACTAGCCGGGTCACGATTACCTTTGCAATTTAACATTTTCATTGAAGTACGTAAATGATTAATGCAATAACAATATACCTAACGATAAAGTTGATTCGATTTGAAGCAAAAAAATCCTACTTTATTATCAATCGTTAGAACCAATTAACATTATCATAATTGTTAATAAGTGAATAACGATAATATTTCACAAATAAATCAATTACATTTTAAAAGGTGAAATAAATTACTAATGCTCCTTCTCGATATAATATCTATCTATTATTGATAAGAATTGAGTATGTGATCGTAGGAAAAGTGCATGAAAAATAAAACTTTTTATTATAATAATATTCTAGATAGGAAACAGATTTAACAGGAACAAAATATTATTTTTATTTCAAATGCATGTATTTCTCAATTTATTTATCAGTTCTTCTATTGTCTCTTGGTCTTTGTTGTTGAAAGAAGTAATGTTCCATGTTACTAATCTGATTGTGAGCTTATTTTTCCTTCTCGTTTTCCTTTTCTTTCCGTGGTTCGTCATCTTCTCGGAACCAGATTCCGTCTGGTTCCGAGGCTTTATATCGGTTCTTTGAGCCTTGTTTTCTTTCACAATGGGTAGGATGCTAACCTGACCCATGAACGCTCCTCTTTTATCCGAGCTTGGGACCGGCGATAATTTAAACAATTCAGGAGGCTAATATTGAAGAAGAAACGGGCTTTAAAGCCTACATACAAGAAGAAAGAAGAAGAAGAAGTATTTCTCAATGTAGTCTCTTTAGTTTCTGTAATTTTTGTTTTGTATTTTATATATTTGTGGAATGTAAAAACTTCTAAGTCAGATAGCCAAGCGGGCTAGGCGGCTGATTCTCATTCGCTTCACTGTCGAATGGTTCAGTGGATGTGAGTTCGAGCCCCAGCTTGGTGTACAGAAAAATAAAAGGCTAACGTAGCAGTTTAAAATTCTGGATAAATCTGCGGCTTAGACTGGAATATTCTGGTATCTGATCGGCCTATGGTGGAACAGCACGGTAAGAGGTAACGGCTTGTGGCTCGGTAATACTTTTCCATAAATCCCTACCGGAAGGGCGTGGCGCCTAAATACCGGTATATATATATATATATATATATATATATATATATATATATATATATATATATTTATATATAAACTTCTTCGTCCATCACATCTCATTCTGCAATTTTCCTTGCAATTAGCTGGCTCGCTACCATGACGTAGATGTACGCCTTCGATTTACCTCTTGCGAACGTTATTCGCGAATATTATTTAAGACCACTAAGTCCATTTGTGAGATCTGATCATTCCATAACTCTCCTTTTTTGTCATTTCTTGGAGCTTCCCAAAAACTGAACTTTTTGCGTTTACATCCCCTGCAATTGTATATCGCCTATACTTTCTTGTAGTGTCTAGTACACTCTGGAACTATAGCTCCAGAACTATAAGGCGGCTGCACAATTGACCGGAAACGGGAACGAGAACGGAAACTGAAAGCATCAGCAGATTCAGAATTAAGGGTAAACAAGGTGTTTTGTGCTACGAATATTTAAATGTTTTGTGTTACTGTCACTTGTGCTGTTAATTATTTTGTTCTCAAAATAAATTTTGTAGAACAATCTTACTCTAATTTTATTAAAAGAGGATGTCTGGTAACTCTGAAAATATGAATTTATTGAGGACGAGCTTTTAATATGTTCGTCTTTTATTATCTTGCAACAATTTTACACAATATGTGTGCAATCACAAAGAAGGTTTGTCAGCATAAAGATAAAAAGCATATCATTCAAATATTTATAGACAAGAGGTTATAAAATGGTCACTTACAATGTAAACAAATTTCTATTTGGCGTTTGACAGTATTTTAAATACTGCTTTCTGATTGGTTCCGGGAATACAACGGGAACGAGAAAGTTGAAACATGGGCAACTTTCCCGTTCTGGTTACCGGACGGCTTCTCGTTCTCGTTTATTGTGCATCTAAACATTGATTTACGTAAAGATTAACTTTTTTCACGTTCCCGTTTCCGTTCTCGTACCCGTTCCCGGGCAATTGTGCGGCCGACTTTACATTGCTCCATGTTACAGTTTGGGGATATATAGACCTACGTTGCGGTTGGTAGCATTTTTTTGCTGTGACAAGTTTTGCGTGATTGGCTATTTTATATCATGGTATATAGGTAGCAACAAACATTGTTTAACCTGGCACTGGAGTATGCGGTCAGGCGAATGCAAACTGAACTAGAAAACCTACTGACCAATAAAACGGTTCAACTGGCTGCCTACGCCGATGATATTAATATTATGAGTAGAACATCAACAGGAGCACAGGAAGCATACGCAGAGTTAAAAACACAAACGAAAAGGCTAGGTCTGGAAATTAACACAGAAAAAACAAAAATAATGGTACAGACGAGAAGAAATATAATCCCACAAAACATTATACATGAAGATGACATTGAAACGGTTGGAAAGTTTACATACCTGGGAGTAGAAATATATGCCGATGGAGCAGAGGATGGAGAAATACGGAAAAGGATAACGCAGGCAAACAAAGCTTATTTTGCCCTCTCCCATATATTTCGGTCTAAAAGTGTCCACCGAAATACAAAGATGAGAATATATAAAACTTTAATTCGGCCAATAGCATGTTATGGCAGCGAAGCATGGGTCCTGAAAGAAACATCCAAAAACAAACTCGACACATTCGAAAGAAAAGTACTGAGGAGAATACTAGGACCTGTGAGGGAAAACGGAATCTTCAGAATTCGATATAACAACGAGCTCTATCAACTGTATAAGGAAACACCCCTGTCAAACTTCATTAGAATACAAAGATTGCAATGGGCCGGACATGTGATACGAATGGGAGAGGATAGGCTACCAAAACGAGCACTGAACGCCAGAATGCAGGGAAAGAGACCAGTTGGAAAGTCAAGAAAGCGCTGGGAAGATACAGTAAGCAGCGACGCACAAGCACTTTTAGGAGTCCGTGTATGGAGAAGAGCAGCCACAGACAGACAAGGGTGGAGGCAAAAAATAAAGGAGGCCAAGGCTCATTTTGGGCTGTAGTGCCGTAGAAGAAGAAGATATAAGTAGCTAATTACCTAATAACAACAGCAAAAGAAGGCTTGGCTATACTAAAGTACGAAAATACGCGAAGTGCAATTACTTTTCTTTTTTTTTTTTTCATTAATTTATACTCGCCACTTTTTTGCGGTCTTTCTTTTCAATCTTTAAAAAGGCACAGGTTTGATTTGATTGAAAACATTAAAAAAGAATATCTGGACGAGCTAAACAGCATTCCACAAGAACAGTTGTTATGGTCCGTCCAACGGTGGAAGGACCATACGACGTTAAATTAAATGAAATTTATGTTATCGAGGAAAGTACTTTGATAGTTTGATAGGGTCTTGAATCTTAAATGAGTTTTAAATAAAGGATTTACGTGGTAGTCTCCAAACTTTCTGACAGAGAAAGTTAGAGGAGTAAAGGGAAGGCCTATGTCTAATATTGGACATGTCAAGGCTAATAGATAGATAGATTTCATTTATAAAATCCATTTGTGTAGATTTTCTGTACATTTTGGAAACTAGTTTTTTGATCATGAAACATATTCTATTAAAAGATCATTTACAGGTTCAAGATATGTATCCTGGTTACCGAGTTTCTCCGTGGAAGTCAGCAACGCCCAACCGATACGTCAAAACCACATTTCCGCTTCTAATTCCCAATTAGATGCGATGGCAAGACAAGTCCAGACCCTATTTCCTCATATCCCCATACCGACCATAATCGAAGACTTACGAGTGACCCGCTCGGTTGAATTGACCATTGAAAACGTACTAGACGGAAGGTTGGTGGCGCCACCTATGTTTAGAGATTTGGACATCGAGCAGTCGGCTAGTCGAAATCCCATCTCGTTGCTTAATTTTAACGATCCAGAGCCTAGTACGGGGAACTGGGATGAGTTTAGTAATGACACCGTTGAAGTGTAAGTATATGTATATACCATTTTTTCTATGAGATCCGTTGCATTTTGTTCATTAATTTGCACATTGTATATTCTTGTAAAATCGAAGGACGCAGAGGAATTGGTAGAAAGCAGGCCTCTTGGTTGAAGAATATCAGAGAGTGGACAGGAATAAGGAAAGCTGAGCAACTCTTTAGACTAGCTCGAGACAGAGACAGTTTCGCCATGTTGACAGCCAACGTCAAGGCGACTTGATAGGCCACGTTAAGAAGAAGATATCCGTGTAACAGTTTAGTACATTATAATGCAGAGAATAAGTATAAAATAAGCGGAAATTTAAATAGACCTTTGAACCATAATTAACAAATTTACATTGTCAGAACAATAGTGATAATGATTTAGTGGCGAAATCTGTTTTTTTTTAAGAAATAGGCAACCATCCATTTTCCTTACAGACGATTTCTCTTTTATTACAACCCCGCATAAATATGTTGAACATATTTATTTAACGTGTTTTTGGCTGGTGTCCCATAAGACACATACCACAAGTTACATTTACTGCTTTTTTCATTCAGAGACATTCTCTGAGGCTCTGCAACAACCCTTATTGGGAGTCTTACGTTATAGTGGCTTAACTCATGTATACCTGATAAGTATTTGACCACATTGCTTTTTAACCTTAATCAAAATTTTACCTTTACGTTTGTATTCACCAATGTGATTATGCTTATTCCAGGCAATACACTGATGATGGACTTTTTAGTCGGAAAATGTTCTGTGATGTAGCCTGAAAGAGTTTTTTTAAATTATATACCTTTTATAAAGGATTTTAAATAAAACTTTTGTGATTTATTGTATACAGCCAACTACAGGAATTTATTTTTCCTTGTGTAACCAAATATGTTCAAGCCTACCAAGTAAAGACTACCAAGCCTACGAAGACTACCAAGATGATAGCTTAGTGCATGAGGAACTAGAACAGACACTCCTCTTGTAGAAAAAATATAGTTCTTTATATTGTTAAGAGCTATTGGTAGGGCTAAGCCACATCACCAGATGCATAAAATACAAAAATATTAAAATATGGGGAAATTAGGGAAATAAGTTGGAGAGATATAAGTAAACTACCTAATAAAGTGGAAAAAAACATCAATTTTTTTGCTTAACGTTGTATTGACGCTGAATAACAAACTCCAGTTAGTGTTTCTTCTTTTTCCAAGTGATGATTCTTCTTCGGAGCTCGATCGTCTTCAAAAAGCCACTGTTTTGATTTTCCCTTGTCTTGGGAGTGTATTTTTCTTCTCTTTCCAGCAGAAGCTGCCTTATTATACTAGAGGCTCGGCTGTAGGGCCCTAATTAGGGACAGTAAAACTTATTTGGGATAGATTCAGAGTCCACGACTCGGATCGTCTTTACCTCTCTGTTATTTATCTATACATTTTTAATTCTAAAGCGTTTAAAGGCTATAATCTTCCAGTGTTTGTTATCTCTCTGGAGCATCGTTAGTCAATATTTACAGGTCAGCAGGTGCAAATGTGCCATCCAAACGTACTAAGATTTTTACACCCAAGTTTTGGTTGAAAGTTTCCCGAGACTCACTTTTTTCCTTTTTTAAAACACAATATCATTGAATCCATGTGTCTTATAGGCTCCTTGCTCCATTCCTACAGTTCCTACGTTTCAAACAATAATGATCACATTTTTGATTTTTAGGGAAGACACAGTGCCGTTGGGTAGCCGCTTCTCGAAATCTTCAACGGAACGCGAGAAGATCCTTCAAAGAAGAAAGGAACAGCTGAGACATCAAGCCAGGAAGCGCTACATCGAGAAGCACAGAGCAGCTGTATCGGTCAAGGACGAACTTCAAAGTTGAAGGGAATTCCAGACGAACTGAAATGATTTGGTTGAAACATTGCTCGAGAGATAATCGTCATTGGAATTTTCCTGCAATTATACGTTGCAAAAGAATGATTTTATAATAGCAAAATAGCCAGCTCATTTCACATAAATGAATTGTAGGTCTTATCAGTTTGTTTCCTAGATCTTGTTACGTTTTAAATATATTAAAGTTCTTCCAACATTTTGGTATTTCTGCTAAAGTTTTTAGCAAATTTGTGTGAAATGGTAGAATGAATTTGTATAAATGTAGAAACGGTTTGAACGACGCAGTTTTTTGGGTACAAGATTCTGGAAACCGACTAAAAGAACTTGGTTTTATGAGAATGTGAGCTAGTGCCCATTGTAAAAGCTTTAAACTGAATAAGGAAGTTAACATAGGTCTACAAAACAAACCTCTTGTATGGTATTTACATGCTAAATATCTTTTATACAATTTATAACCATAATTTACTAATTTATTGAAGTAGAATACGAGGTTTGCCCAAAGGTATGCGATTTTTGTTCAAAACTTCGTAATTATTTATTTATTTTCTTCATCTAGCTCACGGCATTTATCGAAAGAATGCCTATTCGACTCAACAACAAGCTTAAATGAGTTATATAAGTCACTGAAGCATTCTAAAATTTAGTTTTTGTACTATCCTGTGGTAGCATTCATTTTAATCGGGTAAATCTAAATATTAAATACATTTTAACAATTTTACTAAAATACTGATGATTAATAAATTGTAAGAGTTGTTATTTTTGCGAAATAGGTATTTCATTCTTACGATAATCATCTTTTTAATATTTTAATATATTTTTTAAATATTTTAACTGTATGTAATCAGGCTCGAAGGACCAAATATCATGGTGACATACTAGTCGGCGACCTCAGGATAATGAAAGGCTCAAATAATTGTAAAATTTGTTTCAAAATTGCCGATTAACTAAGGTTAAATGTTATCTGAAGTAATTTATTTCATCTGGTAAATTCATAAGTTCAAAAAATTCATTTATTTCACTGGGACCTTTTGTAGCATATGCACAGCTCACCTTCATAATAAAAAAATAATCAACATGGTTGCTCGAATGAAAACTTTTGTCTTGGAGATTGATATTTTGTTGCGGAATTTTTTTTTATATATTTTGGTCATTAGTGGCCATTTTCAAGAGATACAGAGTGACTTCTGAGGGAATTTTGTACTCTGTCGTGAGAAATTTTGGAAATAACTTTGGACACACGTCAACCTTTCTCAAATTATTATTTAGAATTATCGAAATACAAGTTTTCAGAATTTTAAGACTGTCATCTAGTTGGCAGAGGTTTAGACGATAATTTTCTTTAATAGTAAGACTATCGCCTTGGTTACTTTCCGGTGTTGTACCGAAAGGTCTAGCAAAAAGCACTGACAGTCGATAAAAATGTGATCATTTTTAAGCGGATTAAATGTTTTATCTGTGTTGATCATAAATTCATCTCAAGGAACTCTTACATCTTTTGATTAACTTCATCACAACATTTTTCGTGTTGTAAATGGCGCTATTTAAACATCAATTTAAGCGCTATTTAAACTTGGTCGCTGTTTAAATTTCAATTTGGGTGGTGGTTAAACTTCAATTTGAGCGCTGCGCTGTTTAAACTTTAAACTTGAATGCCGCAACAAAGCCAAACTTGTGAATGCAAAAAAGTAAACAAAAACATGCTAGTAGAAACTAGTGTAGCAAAGTGTTAGCAATTATGATCGTACCTGACAGAGGCCTCTGAACATTTTGATACGAAGTTATGAACTAAAGTCGAGTGTATTTGGAACATACCTCGTATATTTTTTAGTTATAGTTTTTTAAAATGTATGTATTAATGTCATAATGATACTCTCTAATTGTTCACGCATTTTAATGTAAAAGTAGACACTTTATTATACAGAATTTTAAATTTTGTGTCTGGTATGTCTATTTAATGAGAACTAGCATAGAATACAGCGTGGCAATGTTACAATGCTACAAAGTTTATGTGTACGTAGTGGAAACAAAGTTGTAGGTCAAGGAGGGAATTACTGTCTAAAATTAGACGGTTTTTGTAACTTTATGTGTATATTATTGAAATAGCAAATAATTTAAATAAATAATCTTATATATATCCTTCCAATATCCGTCCCATGTTTGTTGATATACTAGCAAACTTTGCCAAAGCTGTATCTTTGTCATACTATATCGTAAGGCTGTACCAGCAAGACAAATTTGCTTTTTCTAATAAAGTAATTTAAAAATAAAGCTCATATTTTGTAACGCGGCCTGTGATAATTCCCTCCCTCAAGTTACGAGTATGCTGTAACGGATACTTTTGGCTCAGATGCGATTTCTCTCACCGGTCACGTTACAATAGGTGTATTCATAAAACTTTTTTTTCTTAAGAATCTTTTTCAAATATAGGTGGCACTATCCAACAAATGTGAGAATACTCATAGATATATACTTAAAATACGAGGGGTGGCCAAAAAACTTCAAAATTAACTTTAAAAACTGTATTTAATAAATAGATTATAAATCATTCAACAATATGGCCTATTAAAAGAATAACGTATTTACTTTTTGCACTGCTGGAAGAATCGCGAGAACCGTTCTTCATTGCTGTTTATCTCCTTCAGGGATGTTTCTTCAATTTTGTCAAATATCTGCCCTTCTTCAAAGATCTTTTGAATTTTGGAGACAAAAAAGTTAGCAGAAGCGAGGTATGGGGAACAGAGAAAGTGAAACGGTGACTTTTTTGTGCAGAAAATAGCCTCACTTCAAGAATCCAATTTTGTCAGTGTTTTCTGTGGAAGAAGTTCGTAGTACTTGACAAGCTTCTACTCTAAAAAAAGGTGAGCACAATGTTCACGTTCGATTTTACTTTGGAGTATCAGAAATGATACTTGACTTCCATTGAAGTCCTGTCATAGCCATGTTTTAAACAGTTTTCATCACAATTTGTCATTTCAGTCAGTTTCTGACATATATAAACTCTGAGTTGTTTTTGATCCTCGGTTAACATACAGGAAAGATATTTTGCAGCCTCACAGTGTATGTTTAATAGTTGGGTTAACATTTTTAGCGTGAGAACGAAAATTTGCGTTATCGAATTTCTCACAAATAGTGAGACAACGATTTAAGTCCTTATTTCATCAGTCAAAGTCAATCATCGTCTTAATTGTCGCCGACGTTGACATACTGCAACATTCAATCTCAAACGTCAAAATCAAAAAAATCGTAAGGCATCAAAATACTCAAGCTACAACTCAACCTCTTGTTAATAGTCCAACGTTTTGAATGGTATATAATCAATTCTATTCAGATGGATAAAGCAAATCTGCATTTTGGATTTAAAAGAAATATTTTCGAATGGAAAGTGAGTGAAACACGAAACCCGACAAAACTGAAACGCCAAGTTTACTGATTACTAACTTTGAAACTGGATCGCAGCTGCACAGGACAGAGAAGAGTGGAGACATCTTGAGGAGGCCTATGTTCGACAGTGGACAAATTTGGCTGTGTGATGATGATGATGAACTTTGAAACTGATGTTCGATCCCTAGTAACAATACCAACTGTGGAAAAGTACGTTCCGACTTAAAAGTAACACATACTAGTGACTAGTACTAGTGTGAATTGAACACAAAAATATTCCAGAAAGTATTAAGTTTGACTACTGATATAGTGGCGGTCTGGATAGCTCAGACTATCCAGCGTAAGCTCAAGAGATCGTAGACTACCCTGCTATAAGCCCAAAGTCTCACTAGAATTATAAAGTAAGACTATTATTATTAATTTTGAGGCAATTTACAAAAGACCAAGAAATGACTTTTTTGACGTGACAAGCGTTTATACGTAAAGTATAATGATTTATTGTGACCTTATCTTTACATCAATACAGTTGACATTCTTCCTCTTGAACAGCAATATCCAAACTTGAAGGCACCTCGAGTAAATAACTGTTTGTCAATTTTCAAATTTTTTAATATACCGAATTTTATACAAGTCAAGTCAAGCCACAACGTTGACGTTCCTCTTAGAACTGTTCTATTACAGTTCTGTACATTTCTGTATTTGGGTCCACACGCTTCTTACCATCTTCAAATATATGAACTATATTTATGACAGGATTAATCTGTTAGTGACCATCAGTCTTAATCTATCCAGGAGTGAAAATCAACTGCGGGAGGGAATTCACTCACAATAACTCTTTAATATTCAACATACCCAGAAACAAAACGTGAATTCCAATCTGAAAATATTTTAGATATTGGAAAATCCTACAGTGTAAGACACCGACATATATCTGAAAGTGTTACAAATTTCTGTAAGGTTTCAATTGTATTAAAGAATATTTTAGCCAAAACATATTGTTGTTGTAGACCTGTGCTCTAATTGTAGTATTGATTTTTTGTTCATAAGTCATTTAAGAATTACACACTTGTGAACAAGGTGTGTCAGCTCAATTGAAAAGAGATATCATATATTTTTTACTTCCTAGTGCTGGAAAATTCATAGTTGTAGTACGTGTATAAACTGATATGTAAATACCTGTTTTGTTGTCCATTTGTAACTTATTTAATATTTTAATAAGAGGCACTTAATTTTAGTTGACGTTAGGTAGGTTAAAGATGTCATTTGAGTCGTACAGGGGTGTCCCAAAAAGTTCATACGGTTTGTTACTTAGGAGTCACTGAATATTTTTAAATTTGATATCAGAAAATTGGTAGACGATGAAGAGATTTGAGGGAATTAAATGGTACACATGATCAGTAGAGTAAAATACTATGGTTTTACCATTGTATAAAATAGTTCCAAAAACTAAAACAAGGCTATTTTTTGTTCGCTTGTACACATTGATCCATAGGTTCAAATCCGGCTTGAAGGACCAATGTGTAAAAGTGTTGGGATGATGGAAAACCATTATCCATCACGGTTTTTAAATAAAGTTTATAAACATCATTTTTTTTATTTTGATCTTTC